GGAGGACCAGCTTGGGTGTGGCTGATGGTTCTCCACCATCTCCAGCACCTTCTGATGAACCTCTAGGATGGTTTAGATGGGGCAGGGTCAAAACTGCTGCTGGGGCAGGACCACCCACCCTGAGGGGTCATCCCTGCTCATGGGCCACCAGGAGCTCAGTGCTCCAGCAGAAGGACACCCCGGAAATCTCCTAAACTCACGGGGTTCCATCAGCCCACGGCGAAACTCCCCGCCCTGAGGCGTTCCTACCCTCATTTCAGGGGATGTCCTCTTGGGGTTTGGGGATTTGGGACACAGCCACCACCGCCGGACATCTGGACAAGGACCAGAGCAGCGGGAGCAGTTCAACGGCGCTGCCCACGCTGCTGGGCCGGACTGTGCCACCCACGGGGCTGTGCTCTGGTTTTGTGGTTGGAAGCTGAATTTTCTGAATTCCTGGCATTTATTGGGTCCTTTCCACATTTATTGGATCCTTCCCACATTTATTGGATCCTTTCCACATTTATTGGGTCCTTCCCACATTTATTGGGTCCTTCCCACATTTATTGGATCCTTCCCACATTTATTGGGTCCTTCCCACATTTATTGGATCCTTCCCGCATTTATTGGATCCTTCCCACATTTATTGGGTCCTTCCCACATTTATTGGGTCCTTTAGAGGGGCTAATTTAATTAAAAACAAGCTTTGTTAATGCTAATTAAAACAAATAAAAAATTATAAAGCTAATTAAAATAAATTAAAATTGCTAAAATTAAGGGTCGATAGGTTAAATTATTAACCTCTAATTTGCTAAAATTAGAGGTTAATAATTGGCTAATAATTAATTGTCAGATTTCTACTCGTTCAGCTGGGCTCGTAATGAGAAACAGAGAATCTGGCGAGGAACTTGAAGAAGATAAATATAAATATATAATATTTATATTATAAGATAACTATAAGATATTATATATATATTATATTATATATAAGATATTATATATATAATATATTATATATTATATATAATATATTATATATTATATATTATATATTATATATTATATATTATATATTATATATTATAAGATATTATAAGATATCTTATTATAAAGATATATAATCTTCATATACCTTTATATAAATATAAAAAAATTAATATAAAATAATATAAATTAATATAATAAAAATAAAATAATTATAAAAATAAATATATAAAAATATATTATATATAAAATATAAAAATATATATTAAATATATAAAATAATAATAAAAATAATTATAAATTCATATAAATTAATATAAAATAATTAAAAATCAGGAAGTCACTGAAGGCAGGAAAGCAGGAGCCCAGCCAAGGCTCCGCTTGTCACTCTGCGTTGGAAAGGTGAGGATGAGGAAGAGCCCGATTCCTTCCTCCCACCTGTGACCCCTCCTCATAAAAAAGACCACTGACACATTTCAAGGAACAAATTACCCGTGCTTAATTGCTTTTTTTCCTAATGAGCGCAGGAAGTGGAGAGTGGGTTTTGAATATGTATTTGTATTCAGTACTTTTATAAATAAATGTAATTTTAATAATTTATTTATTATTATAATTATAAAAATAATATAAATATTAATAATATAAATATAAATATAAATATAAATATAAATAGAAATAGAAATAGAAATAGAAATAGAAATAGAAATAGAAATAGAAATAGAAATAGAAATAGAAATAGAAATAAAAAATAGAAATAGATATAAAAAAAAAATTAAAAATAAATATAAAAATAAATAAAAATAAATATAAAAATAAATATATAAATATAAAAGAGAAATAATAAATAAATATTTATAAATATAAATATAAATTTAATAATAAACATAAACCTAAACATAAACACAAATATAATTAATAAATATATAAATATACATATACATATACATATACATATACATATACATATACATATACATATAAATTTAATAATAAATCCTGTATTCACGTGTTTTCCGGGCTGTGTGAATTTAGGGGGACCCTGCAGTGGCCCAGAACCGTTAAATCAACACTCACTTGGTAACCCCAAAATGGTTAAAAAGCTTTGGTCCATTTCAGCTGGAATATCAAGGGATATTGATCCTTTATTTATCATTTTTGCCGAAGTTTTTCCACCCCCCGGCCTGTTACAAATACATATTATATTATATTATATTATATTATATTATATTATATTATATTATATTATATTATATTATATTATATTATATTATATTATATTATATTTTTATAATTTTTATATTTTTATATTTTTATATTTTTATATTTTTATATTTTTATATTTTTATATTCATATATTCATATATATTTATATATATTTATATATATTTATATATATTTATATATAAA